GTGGTATTTTATGTGCCTCAAGTTCCATTCCACATGAGTTACTACAGACCTCTAGGGAAAGAGTCTATTCCTTGTAAAGGAGGGAAAGCAAGAGCTCTCAATGCCTCAGCTCCCCTATCTGTACAATGGGGATAATTATACTGCCCAGCCTAACAGGGGTGTTGTGAGGAGAAATATATTAAAGAGGTGCTCAGATACTATAGTAATGAGGATCATATAAGTATTTAAGAAAGGTAGAACCTAGTGTGAGAGACTTCCACTCCTTAGCTATTGCTACCCTGAGGAAGACAGAGATGGAGAGCTTTCCTCTAGGTCTCAGCTCTAGAGAAGAAAATAATAAGCTGTTAAAGGCCGTCCCCTCCTATTTCTCATCAAATGGCAGGTTGGGCTACCAGAGGCCACTTCCCCCTTTTGATTTTCCTTCACAAGAGAGTATAGCTAACCCTTAGACAACGGAAATACTCTGTTATTTATGGATAAGGGGTTGGGTCCCAATCCTGCATGTGCATATGTGTTTAACTTGAGTATCATGAGTAGTGATTTCAATCAGTATTCACAGTACCAAAGTTAAGCAGCCGAGTTTGCAGGGTTGGTGCCTGAGAATCCAAAGACCAAGCTGAGCATTACAAAAGTGTTCCAGGGGAATAAAATTACTTCATATTAATAACTCACAACACTCAGAGTGCACCTGATTGTGAGCACCCAACACTGCAGGTGAATTACATGTTTTCACCAAGTTCCATTAACTTTGCAAGGGATTAGTGCAGTACTATTCTGAAAAGTGACTATGTAAAAATAGCACCTTCTTATGCAACAGATCTGTTCTCTGTGTGTATTCACAGTCCTGTTTGCTCACTTACATAACAAGAGGATGTTTGTAGCTGCTTTTTCAAAAAAATTTGTCAGCCCCAGAGTCAACACAGCTGTGAGAAAGTGAGCTGGATTCTGTTTCATGTTGTGCCTCAAGAGCAGAATTACATACTAAATTTCAACCAGTTACACCTGTGTAAAACCCCTGAGGGCAATGGGATTGCACAGGTGTCACTGAGGGCATACCTGAAGCCTGGGAGGTTGCACAGATGTAACTGGAGGTCTAATTTGGCCTTCAGAATTCTTTATACAACTGGTAATGCCCAGAAAGGAAAGAACTAAGTTGGACTTCTGGAGGCTAGTTGAATTTGCAGGGCTGGAAGTTAGAAAACCTATTTAAAGCAAAAATTTTAAAAAGTACAGTTAATATAAAAATCAGTGAAAAGTAATGAACAAGGGGCCCTATGATACCAATTTTACAGTCCCTTTCCAGACTAGATCTCCATTTAAGGATTAATAATCCACTTCAGGATCTCTTAAAAAAATCCCTGGGCTTGCTATAGTCATTCAGCAGCAGAGCAGTTCTCTACTGTAAGAGTTCCTGATCTTGCGGTCTTCCATCCAAAAGGTGAATCACACTGTGCAGTTCTTGTCTTCTTTATCTCCTTTCTTATCTTTTCTCCTTTCCCTCTCTCAGTGATTAAAGTGCACTGGGTTAAAGGCCCAGAAATAAAATTTCTACAACTCAAGCAGGGTGACATTTCAGCCCTGCCTGCGGTGGGGGGAGCGGGGAATATGCCCTGCTTTCCTCTCTTGCCCAACTCCTGGGGCCACTCAATCAGAGCTGCTGCAGGAAGCAAGTCATGCTTTCTCCCCTTCCTTTCAGGAGCCAAAGTCCTTCTCACTAGCGGGAGCACAAAAAACACAGGATAGCTCCACTCCCTCTTCCACTCCTGTGAACTACCCTACCCCCCAACAAATGGGTTTCGAATGCAAAGTGTATGGGAGTGAAGAGCACCTGGAGCTGCTTCCTCCAAAGAGCTTGGAGAGGGGACCCCAGTGCAGCCCCTGAGCCTGGGAGAGACGGGCAAAGAACCCCAAGAGTAGGGTGACCAGATGTCCCAATTTTATAGGGACAATCCTGATATTTGGGGCTTTGTCTTATGTAGGTGCCTATTACCCCTCACCCCCTGTCCCAATTTTTCACACTTGCTGTCTGGTCACCCTATGCGAGAGCTGCAGGACCAGAGATGAGGCAAGGCGGGGGGAGACCTGATGTGAAGGGTTGGAAGGTCAGAATTGATGGGCTGCAGAGAGACAGGCAGATGTGATACCGCTTTCAGTTCTATAGAAAATAATAGACCCACACAAACACTTTTTTCATTCCACTTTACGCATTACCCTCATCTCCTCTCATCTTTCCCCATTATGCCAAACTTTGCAGTATAAGAAGGTCTCAATTCATCTGCCTAATCCAATCTCTACTTTTCATCTGGGCTATATTAGAAAACATGCACTAGTGTGGATCTTCTTACTACAGATGTGCTTAAACTGATTTAGCTAATGTGTCTATCCCTCTCAGTTAAATCAGTTTAAGCATGATTTAAATGCGTTTCAATCCATCTGTATTAGGGAGTTGCAACAAAGTAACTAGATTGACTTTAAAATCAATATGGTTTAATCCCTGTGAGGTTTGTTTTGGCTTTCTTATATAGACAGCTACTTCTCCAATATTGCTGAGTACCGTAACTTGGGCAGCAGGAAGACGTGGTTTTTCTTTGATGTACTGCCGCCAGCCCTGTTGAAGGTGGCTCTTCAGAGGAAAGCCATCACTTCCTACTGAAGAGTGGCTGTCATGCTCAGCAGCATCTGGAAACCAACCAAGTAGTTTAAAAATGTAAAGTTAATTTTAGACAGCTGAGTTGGAAGCTGCTGTAAGGCTCCCAATTTAGTTTCTTACACTTCAAAATTGTGCGAAGAGGGAGACAGAAGAGATGAGAGGCCAAGGACTCAAGGGAAAAGATACTGTCTGACTTAGATACCAAGGTGACAAGTGCCTTAGAAACAACTAGGATATACAGAAAAATGGTAATGTTTAGCTACCTCCCATCCTCCTGAGTCTTGATGCCCCTAGCTAATTCTGTGGCCTCTAGCTAATTTCAGTTTAGAAAATACAACTGCAAAGCTAATTCAGTTTTCAGAACAGAAAGTGATTTGAAAGTAGCCAGAGGCCACAAGCTGAAAGCAGATGGGCAATGGCAAGAACAGAGAAAATTCAATTTATCCAGCTACATCTGCTCAGAAATGTAGAGGTAGGGTGAGAGCACATTTAATCATATCAGTAGCTTTATTGGCATGACAAGGTAGCTGTTGGTAAGACTGATTCATCAGTGATGTCGACCAAATTCAGAGGTACGTTTATGGAAAGCTGAAGTGGTAACTTATGCCCTGCTCCCTTAGCACATCTGTTATACCAGCTTAAACTCAGTTCTGAATTCAGAATGGAATTTCAACATGGTAATGGGATTTGTACAAAAGATCCACTCTGTCTTTTACACCCCATGTAACACCATTGACTTCAGTAGAATTGCATGGGTGTGATGGAGGACAGCACTGGGATGAAAATACCTTAAATTATAGGAACAATGAAATGAAGTCATGCTTGCTGATCAACAGAGCAGCCCCAAATGTCTCACTCATTGACTAAAGAAACTTGTTAACTAAGGAATACAGCTAAAGGCCTTTGGGAAAGAAGGGTCTATCTACATGTGTTTCAGCTAGAGGTTAACATTCTCACATTAAAAAAAAAAAAAAAAAAAAACTTTGTGCACATGGTCTCTGTGGATTGCAATGCAGGCAGCCCCAAGACTAGGAGGTGATTTGAGAAGATATTAAAGGAGCTTAGAGTGTGAAGTTGTCTCCCTCAGAAACTCTGAATACTAAGACATTTGATAAAGATATCAGTACTCAACTACACAGATTTCTGTTGAGAAATCTTTCAGCAATGCTCTCACCATCACATTTGCTGCACTCTGGGCTCTCACCAGCATTAGTGGCATTATTTTATCTTAAATGATTTACAGTGGAAATTCCTGTGGTCATTTCCCCGCACCTTTAGCTGCGGAGTACTGATCCCTACATAGACCTATCAGACAAAAAGACTATCTCACACTGCAGTGAAATGTGTTAAGACTGACATGAACTCAAACCAGTGACCATAACCTAGAGGCAGAAAGCAGGAGGCACAAGCTGTCTAAACCTAGTGGGGACCAGAGAAACACTTTTTACTCAAGGAAGATAGGTCCATCAATGGCAATGAGCCAAGATGGTCAGGGACAGAACCCTATGCTCTGAGCGTCCCTAGCCTCTGATTGCCAGAAGCTGGGAGTGGACAGGATCAATTACTGGATTATTGCCTTTTCTGTTCATTGCCACTAAAGCACCTGACACTGGCCACTGTCAGAAGAGAGGATACTGGGCTAGACAGACCATTGATCTGACCCACTATGGCTGTTCTTATGTACTCACTAGGAGGAAGCACGAGAAGGGTATTTTTCTCAAATCAGCAGACACCATTAAAGATTTCTCCTCAAAAAACAATGAGGCCAAACTGGAAAAAGGAGAGAGAAAGCTGAGGTGGCCACGTGCACCTGCGTCGGGACCACAAAGGGCCAGCAATGACAGGACACAGGTGACAGGTCCGACCTCCTGAGAGCAGTGGCGGGGAGCGTTAGGGGGGTGGGAGGTGCGAGGAATCTCTCTTCTTTGTCACCAGGTGGGCAGGGCAGGGCAGTCTCCTGGGGGCTCTCCATGAATTGGGTAACACGTGTTGGGAGGTGATTTCCCTAGACCCGCCCACCCCTGGTGACCCTGAAACCCTCAGAATTAGGGTCCATCCTCCCAGCCCCGGCCGGGTCATCTGATTTAGGTGCGGCCCCATTGCACTGAACCTGGGCGGATGGAAAGGGATGTCGCTACAGTGCCGGCCCCCCCCCAATTCCATTCCCGGGACTCCGAGCTCCCGCGCTCCACCCCCCAACCCTAGGAGCTCCTGCTCTATCCGCTCAACCCTGGACGATACCATCTCCCCGCAGGGGGGGGGGGAGGGGAGAGCTCTTCAGTTTCTCTCATGCCTCCCCCGTCCTGGCGGGTGGATTGGCTGGAGCGGCACTCCGCGCCTGCGCAGTCAGGGAGGGAGGTCAGGGAGCGTGTGTGCGTCACAGGGAAGGTAGAGGAGGGGACGGGGCTATGGCGGAGGTCGCGGCAGCCCCGGGCGAGCCCGAGCCCGCGGAGGCGGCGGCGGCGGGCGAGGGCTCCGAGGCCAAGGCGCTGAGCGCGGGGGAGTACGCGCGGCGCGTGCACCAGTGGCTCTGGGACTCGTACTGCGGCTACTGGAGCTGGCAGAGCAGCCTCCCCGCGCTCCTCGCCGCCGCCCCGTACGGCAGCCCGGGCCCGCCCGCCGCCCCCGGCTGCCCCCCGCCGCCCGGCTACTACGCCCCCTGCTACCTCCTCGCCGCCCCCGCCGCGCCGGGACCCCGCGCGCCGCCC